CCGGGCTTCCGCATTCTCGAAGAGGCTGGTATGGCTACCATTCACAAGCCAAGACCACAAATTGAACAGTGTAAACGCTGTTTGGGCTTCCACGCCACCCGTGGTTGCTCCCGCGCTCCAGCCTGCTGGAACTGCGGATCTAACATGCACCCGGAAGCCGAGTGCAAGACTCTCACTAAGTGTCACAACTGTGGGGGACCTCACCAATCGGATTCTCGGGCCTGTCAGGTCAGACCCAAAAAATCCGGACCAGTGAACAAAGAGCAGCTCGTGTGGATCCGCCACATAGAACAAGGGGAGTTATCAAAGGTGGCACGAGCACGAGCAGCAGCAAAAAAGGCCGAAGAGGCGATCATCGCTGCTGCGAAGGACGTCTCAATGGCCGAGGCAACAGGTTTCGGAGCTCTGGAAGCTGAAGAAGAAGTTTGAAGACACAGCAACTTCAACAATGCCCCCTTTTGGGACATCTACTAACCAATAGCAGGATACCGGCTGGATAAAAGGTGCCTGCTAACCCATCTTTTGCTCTCAGCAGACAATGGGCAAATTTGTCATCTGGAAGGTGTGATGGACGAGGGAATGTGTGAGGAGCACATCGAATTGAATTTTATTTATGTCCCTACTGAGTCTATGACTATGAAGGACTGAGGAGCACATTGCTTGGGTCCAATATGGAGGAATCTTCTGGTATTTGGAGTTGTTTTGATTTTTGTGATTTTTTGTTCTTGTGTTGTGAATACCTCGGGTCAGCTCCGATCGAGCCTCATTGAGCTCCCACCATCGCAGCACTCGGACACTCGGCCGCAGTAAGCTAGATGACATTATGGCACTGATAGCACAGCTAAGTACCTAATCACTCTGTCAACATCCCTACATCCGAGCGTTGCCTGGTGGACCAATGCGTTTAGACAGAGGTGCACATCACTCTGATGGCTACCGAGGGGCAACAGCATATAATGTGACGACGGTGTATAGCTCTGCAATCCCGGGAGTTCCACACTAGCAACCAGTGTCAATAGTATGTTATAACAGGAGATATTGGCAGGGGCTATGGAAGTGGTTACTGTGACAGAAGTAGGAAGTGTCACGGACTGGCCCTGTAATGTTGTGTAGCACCTGGCAAACCGTGTCATGAGTGTACTCAAATCACAGTTAATGCGTTGCGATAGTTACAGTGTTGCGATAGCAACAGTTACCACCCAAGATACCAGTTAGTTGCTATGACATGGATGTAGGCTATGGCATCACTGGTTATGTTGACTGCCCTCATGTACTTAAGAGAGCTCTGAGACTGTATTTGAACTGTAGCCTCTTGTCTTGTAATTTACTTACTCTCTTGGCCTCATCTTAGTCCGCGTCCTCATCTTCATGTTAGTCCTTGTCCTACTCTCCGTCCTCGTCCTAGTCCACCGTCCGCGAGCCCTGACAGGAAGCACCTGTGGTGAGTGCGTGATCAGGACTGGGGTACTGAATGTATATATGAGGAAGCAATACTTCCGCAGATAGATTGTAAATCAACCGTCTCACTACTGTCCATTCCAACGCTTCTTCTCACTACAGACATATCAATTATATCCGCGCATCCATAATCATCTGCATCCATTTCAGGTATTCCTCTGTCCCATCATGACCTCGTTATTATAACATCTTGTTCAATCAGCTGCACTCTTGGTAGCAATTCACGAGGTTCGAACGAGTTAGGCTGTCGGAAAAGTTACAGGGAACCCTGCCGGATCCGCCGGTCCTTGACCCAATGTGGAAAAGATAGCATTAGCTTAGGACCAAAAGTAAAAAAAAAAACACTTCATCAATTACTTCCATTTATCAAGCATGGTGGTGAAGTGCTTGATGCGGAAATTGTAGGGGCGAGGAAGGCCCTGGAAGCTGCGCTGGGATTGTTGGAGAGGGAGAATAGTGGAAGCGACGGCAGGCGGCGGATCAACGTGTTGACGGATAGTCAGTCTACAGTGAAGGCACTGCTGACGGGAACTGCCACAACAAGTTTCGACGACGTGCGCCAATTTAGAGCATTATCAGAAAAGGCTCGAGTCTCGGTCCAGTGGATACCAGCCCACTCCGGGATACAGGGAAACGAAGAGGCCGATAGAGCTGCACGGTCCGGCCTCCGACAACTGCCAAGTAAAGAGAACCAGCCTGGCTCCGTCACGTTGGCGTACGTTCGTCGGCTCATGAACCGGAACAGGCAAATGCTTCTTGACGACTGGTAGGAAGAAGCGTGTCCACCTAGATATCGTAACCTGGGTCTTCTCATGCGACGACGCAAGCCACGCGAGCTGGCACTTTCCCGGCGGCTACTTCGTAAACTGATCTCAGCCCGCACGGGACACGGAAACTTCGCTGCATGCCATCGTCGTTTCAACAACTTCGCCGCTTCCATGGAGTGTGCGTGTGGAGAGGAAACAACGCCTCTCCACTTCATTCACTGTCGACTGCACGCACGCCAGACGCGTCGACTACGAGGTACAATGTCACATCACGACTTTGTCCACAAGCTTCTCGGGCATAAGTGTCTCGAGAACTTTACAAAATTTGCGCAGGAAACCGGCTGCTTCGGGGGCCCACCTGCGACTCCGTCTCCAGCTCTCAGCGGAGACGGTGGTAATTAGTCATAGCACGATGTATGGCAGGTAGGAAAATGAGACCAGAAGTGTCGTTTTCCAACCACAAACAGGAGCATGGGAGTTGGAATTTTGGTTATGGGAGTCTGTGTGGACATTTATTTTCTTTATTATAACTAGCTACTTTTTGTATAGTGAGTCACGCGGTGAGACCGAGTCGGGTATGTGGGAAGCATGATCTCGGCCGTGTACACCGGTCTTTGACTCCTAGGAGATATAGAGCTTAGCTTAGGACCTAAAAATAAAATCAATCAATCAATCAATTACTTCCATTAACTATCACCTGACTTATCTCTATACTCCATAATTTCAACAACAAGCACTAACCTAAGCAAAAAACCCACGTGCGCATAGAAAGTCTATATTTTTGATCAGAAAACCTTCCTTATCCATCTTCTTTGGTTATTATCCATAGCTTCTGAAATTCATCGTCCCAGCTGCCCATACTTCCCCAAGTTGTAGAGCCTCAATATAGCAGCAGTCTCACCTAGACCAAGACTCGGGCTTTGTAAATTTCGACTTGGCCTTTCCTGTCGCATGCATATATCATTGTAACTTGGAGCTAAGTGATGGCCGATTTTGGATGAGGCTAATTCTTTTTTGCAATAGGAACTATTCCTTGATTGGTTGTCGAGACATGATCATTTGTGGTGAGATCGGGATGCAGGACTTCTGAGTGAATGATAGGACCGACATTAGTGAGAGATGGTCGATTCCAGATAAGCAGAGCAAATTGATTAATTACACCAACACCGCTGGCAGGGAAGAATTTGTCTTTGCGAGTGGCAAAAACTCTTGTGTTGACACCATGTTTTGCATATTCTTCGATTTGTTTGGAAACACGAGTGGAAGGTGGCCAAGCTTCCCACAGACGACGTGTCCTTTGGCCTTTTGAATGTCATTTCCATCGCTCAGGCTAACACGAAAAAGTGTAATGATAGCCATAGATGATTGTGAGACTGGAATGTCGATGTCGTCTCTCGCGCTTGACATGGCTGGCGAGCAGAGCAGACCACGAGTCAGCTGAGGGTAACGTTGCATTTAAGAGATCCACCGGCTTGGCCACTCCCGACGCGCTCTCATTTTTGTTTCCAATTTGGCAACCCTCTTTTTCTTCATCAGATTTTAATTGCGTATGCAGCTATCTAGCCATGACACATTATCAGAGAAAAAGTATAGAAATGATGACTCAGTATACAAATAGAGAACTTATGCCTCGGATTTCATTTGCAAGTACCACGACTTGGCAAACCTCTATGTATACGCATCTCGAATAGTCACTGGCTCTGCACATAGCAGTAAGCCTGTTACAGGCTAGCGCCTTGTTTAATTATAACCGGAGTTTATTCAGTTCATTTATTGAGAAGTCTTAGAGTACATGGCTTGGCTGGATTAAGGAGTTGTGTAAAGGATAACTCCTGCATAAATCCATACGCGACGCGCGGTGTCGAGTAGATAGGCATGTAGTCTTTGTATTACTTCATTCTTTATACAGAATATAAACTAATTTACGACACACTTTCATGCGAATAGCTAATGTGATTAGTCCCATGACACAGCCCTCTCATACTCGCTGAGCATGTCGCGGCACACTTATCCTGTCTAGGTCTAGCCCGGTCGTCCTACAACTCATAACCAAGTCGACGTATCCCGATTTCGCGCAGTGTTTCTCGTGACCATTTAAAGTGTAAAATTATGGAGTATGTAATGGGCTTCCTAATGAGGAATCTCCTTCAGAAATTAGGTAAATATAATTAAACTTCTCCACAATATGAGATGTATTTCCCTCGCCTAACCGTAAAAGCCCGAAGCGGCGCTTACAGAATATTACACGTGAGTTCCTTCCGAGCGAGGCATCCAGAGTCAGGTGTCAGAGCAACAAAGTAGTAGATAGTAGTAGTTGAAATTTCCAAAAAAGCGTTTGCTGGCCCTAGCTATACACGTATATACGCAACGTGGTCTCTTGCTACCGAGACTCACATCCATCTCGAGCGAGATGCAAACTGGCAAACATACACTACAAGATCCAGCCGCCATATTGCGCGCAAATAATGACTAAAATTTGGACGGAGGAATAGAGCAATTTATTACCACTAAAATCGGCAGAGGGATGGGCTCAGCAATGCCGGGCCAAGTGGGGCTCAAAGGTAGGAATGTGTGTATTATAATAGGAACAGCTGTGAGAAAAGCGGGCGTAGAGACTCCATAGTGCCGAGTCCACCGTAGTTGCAGGTTGATTGAATCTCTGGCTCATCCATTGTCGTCCTCAAAGGTAATATAAAGTTGGACCAATTCTCCCTGGGCCTAACCATCTTCTCCTTCCAAGTCACCATCTCTCGTCCAACTTGCCATCCTCACAACATGCACTCCAATCGCTTGCTCAAATCTTTTGGACTTTGGCTCGTATCTATCATATCTGTAGTGCAGTGTTATCAAGACTACAACTGTGCCCAAGATATGGTCATATCATCGGCCGATGTTAAAAAAGCCCACGAAAGGGCCATCTCGCGCATAAATTATCCGAATAAATATGAAAATTTTCTGATTAATGTTAAATACAGAGGAAATATAACTCCCACAGCTAATCCCGCTTATTATTGGTTTGTGACGCAATTGCCGGGCTCCCAAGGTCGTAAATATTCCGCCGTCGACTGACTTCCATGCACTAACGTGCCCAAAAGAGCTGGGAATAAAGTACTATTTGCTGACTTCAGCGTCGGGCAACATTTTGGGGATGATAAGCTCTGGCTGGGGGATGGAGCTTGGCACAAGCGACACCTGGTGTACCTAGGCGTAAACAGCTAAAGTAGACAAGCAGTTTTCTCTCAATTCTGATTGCAAGTTCGGTTTCCAGAAAATGCGTCAGCCGTCACAGACATAATCAGGCATAACTTATAAGGAAATGGTTAAACTGTCCTTTGCAGCTATTGATAGTAACATGAATTAAGATGATGATTGTGATTGAGATAGATTTCTATATAGTTTATTATACATGATATGCTCAGGTTCATATACCTCGAGCCAAGCAACTAGATTATGTTACTCCAGATCTAGATTCATCAGAATTATTACTTACTCAGTAAAATTCTCCTAGTCTCAGTTATGTGTTTAGGATATTGACCAGGTTTCTAGTAACTAGTCAATGATGTTTCTCCTATTACTGAGACATAGTCATGGTTGATACTGTTGAAATTGACGCTACTTGGCAATGAAGAGGCGCATTAATACGGAACGTAATAAGGTTCTATTATTACCAGCCACATTTATGACGACTCATACATTGACCAGCCTCCCAATTATTTAGCATAAACAAGTGAATTGTTTCCTTCACTTAGATGTAGTAATTAGTTTAAATAGTGCTCTGATACTAAGTGGGTTTAATCAACAACTCTCCACTATAGTTTTCAGACTCTTCAATCTCCCAACTCGCTTCACTAGGTGATATTAAATACAAGCCTAACAGCTTAAGCTTCTCTATACAACTTCCATTACAACAGATACAACAGGTACAAACAATGAATCATGTCTGTACATGACGTTGTGATATAGTCATGATCGTCTGAATAATATCAACTCATGAATAAATCATGTCTCTACATGACACCCCCCCAGGACTTAGTCTTTGATTGAGTCCTGTATCTCGAGATTTGACACTAGGTTCAGGAGGTTAACAAACTTGGTGTGTTTCTATCTGCTTAAAGCTTTGGTCATGCCATATGCAACCATGTTGTTAGTGTTTACCCACAATAACTTAACTTAATTTCTTTAAACTTTCTCTCTTAACCAATGCCAATAAATTCAACTTTGGATTTTGTGTGGGCGCCAAGACCAAGATTTCGGCTAATTAGCCAGGAGGGCTTCTTTTGTCGATGAGTCAACGGCACTCCCCAGCGCCCTGGACGGTACAAAAGAAGTTGGGCTAAGCTACTATACAGCAATCATGCTCTGTCAAGACTTTTCTGACATTTCAGCACGACCTTCGGGAAGAAGTTGGAAGGAGGCTAGAAAGGCAGAGGGTGAATTCTCCGAGGTACCCACAAGTCTGCAGCGCCCAGCTGGCCGGCCTTTTCGAACGCTTCAGAAGGGGCAACATGTCTTCGGATTTATTCCTAATGTTGGTATTAGAAGAGCCTCGCACCCAGTGGTTTTTGCGATTTTTCCCGGCTACCATACACCCGCAAATGGCCATCGTTTCGTTGGCTGGAGAGGGGAGATAATGAAGGGTTAAGGGCTCCTCTTAGTGTATGATCGAATGAGGACTTGTGAGGGGTGGTACTGTTTGAGGGGAGCTGTATGGGAGGCATAGGAGGGGATATACTACTGGTATAGGTATCCTTGGCCTGTAGGCAGAGAGGACCTGCATGTCCTACATAGTCATAGACTCAGACAGGACAATAAAATGAATTAAAAAAAAAAATGCCAATAAATGTCGACAAGCTTGAGTCTGGTTTTTATAATTGTTTCTTTTTTGTTCAATAAGCTTATAGTTTGTAGGTTATTGTTGTATATTTCAACTTGTTGGTCAGGGTTAAAATTAATACATGAAAATAACATTTGCATCCAGGTTAGCTCTTTTGTCACATTAGAAAGTGACAAAATTTCCGCCTCTGTTGATGAAATTATTGTTGTTGCTCGTTTTGTTGGATTCCAATATATAGGTCCACTACTAAGCTTGAAAGCGACGCCTTGTATGTTTCGTCTTTCTATTATATTTACGAATAATGCGTCAGCAGAGCAGTTTACAATCTCTGGTAATTTTGACAATCCGGTATATACAATTACCATATATCTGTTTTGGTAAAGGTAGTAGATATTGTAGTCGGGTGCTTTTAGGTTAGTTGTACTTAGACTAGTCATGCATCTTGCAATAGGATTGATAATTTGCAAGATGTCTGATTGTGTGGTGCTTAACGTGTTATTTGGCGAGTGGACTTTCTGCTGGTAAGGCTTAACTTTTTATTTATTTACTTTTTGTCCTAAGCTATGTCACAGTTTCTGTTATGAATTTTTTAGGTATAATCTGGATGTGGTGGCTCGGGGGTACTTTCTTCATTTGGTTAGGGCTGAGGCAATGTGATTTAGATTTATTCAGGCTGGAAATTGGAATTGGTTCTTTAGTTCTAACAATCTTTTATGTTTATTGTATAATTTGCTTATTGGGAACTCGATGTTTTGATAACATGATAATCTGAACATATGAATTCGTAACCTTTGATAATTCGAGCCTCGATTACCTTCATTCGCACCTTTGCACCTTCGACCTTCGCACCTTCGTCACTTTGTAACCTCGAACCTTCGATAATTTGTCTTCGTCGAAATCAACTCGACCTCTGCAGCTTAACAGCTTCGAAAATCAGCCAATAAGTAGATTCATAACAGTTTCAGTACAAAATGCTTGGGAAATCTTGTAAGTACAGTATATTAATTATAATTCTCTAGAGAGAGAATTCCTATAGCAAGAATACAAATACATATACTCTGACAAACTCCTCTTCTGTAAGGTTCTCCCTAAGTCTAGAATAACATGGACTCCTCAACAATACCCTAGAAGATTCTTGATCCACCTGTTGTCTTCATGAACCTTCAGTGTGCTTAAAGAAGGTTCATTGACAATCTTCTAAGCTCCTTGTTTTCCGAGATCCTTCCCGAAGATTCCCTTGCATTCATTGCTTGCGCTAGCCAGAGTAGGCTATAGGAATCCCTACTGTGGTGCCACGGTGTCAAGTTTGCAGTGGAGCTTTGACAGGGGTTTTAGCATGTAAACAACGACGCCTTAGGCATAGTCACCTTCCATATTAGAGTTAGCCCCTGTATTTGTGCAAATTTTTGAAAAATTTTGTATGGCAGTTTTTATCTGGACACCATAGTTAGCAGTGGGTCTTTCCTTCGTACTAAACCTAATTTGTAATATGATTGGCTGCATAACATTTGTGCATTTTCGCTACTTGACTTTATAACTTATTTACAGCAGTTCAAAGGTTTTCAAATTACAAAATAGAGCCAGTTTGTCACAGACCGGCTTTCCCATGAGGAAAACGGCCTGCTTGTCACTACCATTGTGCCATGGGCTAATCCTGAGATGCTGCGCTTAGTCTGGTCAACCAAGTCAGGAGCTTCCCTAGTAACATAGTCAATGCGTTGCGATGGTTACAATGTTATGATAGCAACAGTTACTAATCAACATAAGCAATCAGTTGCTGTGTTATAGCTGTAGACTACCATACCCCTGATTGTAGTAGCCGCTCTTGAGTACTTAAGGAAGGTCTAGGACTGGATTTGTTCTGTAGCTTTTTGTCTTGTAATTATTCTAGACTTTAGATTGATCCGATTATAATAAGCTTTACCTTATACCCCGAATCTGTCCTGTTCCGCCTCTGTCACGTTCCGCCTCCGTCCCGTTCCGTCTCTGTCTTGTCTCGCCCTCATCCCGTTCCGATCACATCCTGTCCCGACTACATCCGTCCCGACTCCGTCCCGACTACATCTGTCCCGACTCCGTCCCGACTACATCCGTCCCGACTCCGTCTTGTCTCGCCCTTGTCCCGTTCCGATCACATCCTGTCCCGACTACATCCGTCCCAACTCTGTCCTGTTCCGACCCTTGATCTCCGAACTAGCCAACGAGCCTGACACAGTTGTTGTGGTTATGAGCTATGCGGAAGTCACATTGCGGAGTGATGAGGAGTGGATGGTGCTATAATTAGTTGTTGACAGTGAAAAGACTCATACAATATTATGCTGTAGGTATATGGACAGAAAGTATAAGACTAAACCTGTGTCCATTTATTGTGGGTACATCTATGAAACTATATACATGCTCGCCTAACCAGTACACTAGTGATGTATGCTGTGGCCTTGAGCCACACGCGATGCCATAGCCTCGACTACCTCTTTGTCTTACATCATAACACCAGTTTTATCCTAACCAAAGATCTGAACATGTGGCTGGAATATTTTCAGGCCATAATATCTGGTCGGTCCCCCATCTGCATCTACCACAGCCTGAAATCTTGTTGGCATACTCTGAATGAGTCTCACAAGATCTTCGGAAGACACGGAATCCCATGCCTCCTTTACAATGTTGCGAAGACTATCTTGAGTTTACTGCTTTCCGCAACCCAGATTCGGATGATAACGCTGGATGTAATCCTTCATCTTATTCCAAACAGCTTCAATTGGGTTAAGATCAGGCAAGTTGGCCGGCCAGAAAATCGGTTGAATGAGCCACTGGCTCATATCTTCCATTTTAATTGCGGCTGTGTGGGCAGGAGCAATATCCTGCATTTCGGAAAGCCAAGGTCTCATCGAGACCATGCCATTGATATGAGGAACTATCTTCTCGCAAAAATTTTAAGAGTTAATGGATCCCCACTCTTTCTCCCAAAATAAACAGGGGCCTTTTTCTGGCCCTGTGAAGCAACCCTAGAACATCCAGCCTACCTTCTTCGATTTTTCTCCAACGCAATCAGCGTTGTATTCTTGGGAAGTCTAGCTCATAATGTTAGAGCATCAAATTACTATCTTCTTTTAGAGGAATCTGAGAACACTTTTTGTCGTCCATTCTCTAGAATTTCTTCCATCTTCTACCCAAGTTTTGTCTGTCCATAAAACTGACGTCCAGTCTTCATGTGTCCAATTGAGATGAGCTTCGGCCCGTCCTTTGTGTGACTTTATAGTTTTTTGAGATACTGGAGGCTTTAGAAGAGCTACATGTTGCTGATATCCTCTTTTTATAAGTTCTCTTGGTATTACCTGCTCGCTAACACCAATATGTCTAAAGGGGCCAGAGGC